AACTTTTAAAAAAAAATCACTGAGGTGATTCCCTTTAAGAAATAAGCCACAGAGACTAATTCCTTTAAAGAAAACATTTTTAGAAGTGTTTTTCTTTGAAAAAAACGCCTCAAAGGCTATTCCCTTCAAGGGAAACGCTTCTGGAAGTAGTTTTCTTTGAAAAAAAACGCCTCCAAAAGTGTTTTTCTTAGAAAAAACGCCTCAGAGGCTATTCCCTTGAAGGGAAACGCTTCTGAAAGTAGTTTTCTTTTAAAAAAACGCCTCTGGAAGTGCTTTTCTTAGGAAAAAAACGCCTCCAGAAGTGTTTTTCTTAGGAAAAAACGCCTTAAAGGCTATTCTCTTGAAGGGAAACGCCTCTGGAAGTGCTTTTCTTGGGAAAAAAACGCCTCAAAGGCTATTCCCTTGAAGGAAAACGCCTCTGGAAGTGCTTTTCTTGAGAAAAAACGCCTCAAAGGCTATTCCCTTGAAGGGAAACGCCTCCGGAAGTGTTTTTCTTAGGAAAAAATGCCTTGGATGCTATTCTCTTAAAGGGAAACGCCTCTGAAAGTGTTTTTCTTGAGAAAAAATGCCTCCGGAAGTGCAAATCGCCTCAGAGGCATTTTTCTTCAAAATTTCTGACAAAGAAATGCCTCCGGATGCGATTCCTTCAAAGGAAAAAGTCACAGAGACGAATTCCTTCAAGGAAAACACTCCGGAAGCGAAGTTCTTTACGGAAACGCTCCAGAAGCGAATTCTTTCAAAAAAATCGCTCCAGAAGCGAAATCTTCAAGAAAATCGCTCCAGAAGCGAATTCTTTTAAAGAAAACGCTCTGGAAGTGAAATTCTTTAAAGAAAATGCTCTAGAAGTGAATTCTTCTAAAGAAAATGCTTCAGAAGCGAATTTTTTTAAAGAAAACGCTCTGGAAGTGAATTCTTTTAAAGAAAACGCTCTAGAAGTGAATTCCTTCAAGGAAATCGCTCCAGAAGCGAATTCTTTTAAAGAAAACACTCCGGAAGCGAATTCCTTCAAGGAAATCGCTCTAGAAGCAAATTCTTTTAAAGAAAACTCTCTGAATGCGTTTTTCTTCAAAGAAAAACGTCACTGGGTTCATTTTTCTTCAAAAGAAACGCCACTGGGTTCATTTTCTTCAAAGAAAACGTCACTGGGCCATTTTTCTTCAAAGGAAATGTCAACAGTGTCATATTTTTCAAAAAAAATATCACTGGGGCTGTTTTTCTTTAAGTAAACGCCATCGGAGCAGCTTTCTTCGAAGAAAAACTGCCTTTAGATTTATTTTCTTCAAAGAAAAAAATACAAGCCAACGAGCCGAGCTGCAGCACGAGCCAAGCCACGGCACAAGCCGGCTTGTCTGGCTCGCAGCTCGTTTTATGATAGCTCGAGCTGAGCCTAAACAAGCCGGCTTGTTTGGCTTGCAAGCGGCTCGACTTATGCGGAACTTTAGAAGTTGTTGAAGCTGAAAGTTATTGAAGTTGGAAGTTATTAAAATTTTGAAATTTTGAAAGTTATGAAGATAATGACAGAACTCTGATAAGAAATTACTAAATACCTTTTAGATTAATTAGAGAAAATAAAGGCTAAAAAAAGGAAAGTATACTAGGAAAGTATACTTCTTTTAAATATTTTATTTTAATACTTGAAACAAATTTACTTACTACCATTAACTGTTGATTTTTTTTTTAGTACAATTATTTTATGAAAAATACTATGCTAAAAGATACGTGATAATGAAATATTACGGTAAAAGTCACGTGATTATAGTACATATAGTCACGTGTATGCATTTAAAAAGATACTTGCTCATATAGTTCAGATTAAAAAATCATTGCACAGTGCGAATAGGAAGAGTGTGCACTTAGCATTAAGTCCCAAACTTAGGATTGGGTTAGAGGATGTATTTGAATAGGATATGCACTTATAGAGAGTGCATTTATAGAGAGTTGACTATAATTTTATTTTAAATTAATTAACTTTAATTTAATTTTATATTAATTGTTTTTTTTAATTGTTTTCTTTCAAGTTTTTTAAATTTTATATATAAATTTGAATTTTATTAAATTAGTATGATTAGATTTTAGGATTAGTTATTAGAATATAATTGGATAAGAATTAGGTTAAGATAAGATTATAATTAGATTAATTTTAGAGATATGGTTGAGTTAGATTTAAATTAAGTTCAAGATATATTTGGATTAGTTTAGGATTAAGTTTAGATAAGTATTAAAATAAATTTAAAATATAGATAAGGTTAAATTTAAAAGATAGTTAAAAGATGGTTGAGATAGTTTCAGTAAAGTTTAGGATATAATAGAGTTTGATTTAAGGTATACTTTGCTAAATTTTTAAAATTAAGATCAAATTGAAAATTTATTATAGATCTTATAATTAAAACCTGATTTTACAATATTACGATAAGGCAAATTGAGTTATATAAATTAAGTTGATATGTATTAAGAAAATCATTATTTGATTTAGTCAGAATTATATAAAAGTGACATTGAAGCATATTAAATATATAGTGAATTTATAGAAACTAATAGTAAAGAAATAGTAAAATAGGTAGTAAATTTGTATTAAATGTTGTCACTATAAAATTCTTTAACTTAGGCTGGTTATGTTATCAAGTCTCTACTTGAGGCTACTAACTGCAGTTTACTGCAGCTAAGACATTAGGATATGCCTAACTCTTAACTTTATCAAATCTACGCTTTAAACTTAAACAAATCTATCAAATATAAAGACTTGAAAAACAAGATTATGAATAATTTAATTAAAGAATTTAGATGATGAACTTAATTACAAATAATGTGTAGGGATTATATCAGATTATATGAAGACATAAAGAGGTAGAAAGATATAGGCTTTGAATGATTCCTTTATTAATATTGAAACTTGTATTCGCAAGAAAATTAATTTGATTTGTAAAAGAGTTAATTTACAACATAAGCAAAAGTCTATTTATTTATATAAAATTTCTTTGTTATAACTAACTATTTACTATGCTATAAACTAACTAATTTGATAAATAAAATATAAGTAAAATAGTCAATCTCAGATTTCATTTGATAACACTTTTTATATAAGTATTTAAAATAAAAAAGTCATTGTGTCTGTTTCAATTTGAAATGCAAATCACTTTTACTGTAATGATATGGTTAATATTACTATCAGACAAATTTAAATTAGACCTTGTGGGAAAAGATCTAATTCGTACTATTTTTGATTTACTAATACTATTAAAAAGCTTATAAACTTTCCTTTCCTTCATAAAGTATCATCAGAAAATTTTGTTTTAGGAATTTGTTTCCTAACTTCTTTTTTAACGAGAACATTAGCTTTATTCTTACAATAACTGGATTTTAATTCCTTTATATTGCAAATATAAAGCTTATTTATAAGACTTTCACGCTTACTGCAAATTTTTATTTGTGGCTTATTACAAATATAGAATGAAAAAATACAAAAAGTTATACTACAAAAAACTATTATTTTGCACAAACAATTGTTTTAATATTAAATATTGAAATCACAGATTATTGAAAATTTTACTAATCCATCAGATTATAACTCATTCAAAATCTTACCATTTTTCTTGACCTCTTTCCTTCCCTCTACTCACTTTACTATTCTCTTTTAATACTTTGGTAAATATTGTGCAAAGGTAACAACTTTAGATCGTCCTAGTATAACTCTAGTTGTATACTTATTTTTAGGCTTCAAAATGCATTACTAACCTTCCTTTACAAACTCCTCAAACTTCTCAATTTGTTTGATAATATTGTATCGTAAACATAAGAGTGTTCAGATGAGTCTAGGTGTATGTTCTAGATAGATGTTGGAAATTGGAATAGTAAGAGCTGGGATTATAAATAGCGAAAAAAAGTATAAGCTGAGCCCAATGAATATTATTTGTCTAATCTCAACTTTATCAGCTACAAGCAAATAAACAAGAAATATATTATATTCAAAGTAAAAGAAACACCTGTAGAATCAAAATATTTTAAAAATTTTACCAAACCCTAAGCCAGAAAAATATCTAATGTTTCATACACTTTCCATTCTGGTAACTCAGTGCTTATCATAAACTTATTAAGGATAAAAACACCTTCGTTCATCAACTTTTTTCTATCTCCACTAATTTTAACTGAATCTGGATTATTGGGACCTTCTGAAACCTCAAGAATTTGCCTTGATTATTCAAAAAACTCTAAGACACTATTAGCTTTATACCTGTTATCAATCTTGATAGAAATATCTCATTCACAAGAGAAATACTGCAATGAATTAATAAAACAAAATGTGACAAAAAAAAATAAGCTAATACATGAGCTGTCTATGTACGTTCAGAAGTATTTCTCATTAAACCGTTTATTTTTGTGATTGTATCAAGGTGACTAGAGATACTCTTAATAATAAAAATATCAGGTATTTCTGATTGATCATAATTCTTTGCAGGAATAAGAAAGGTGTTAGATAGATAATGAAATTTTTTGGATAGACTGTCTAATTGATGAACTTTTCCCTTCATTTTTGCAATGGCTTTTTCAAATTCTTTGCTATTTCTTTCATCAATTATGTCATTATTCTTAAATTCTATATCATTATCATCACAACTCTTTTTCTCAATAATCTCATCAAATAGTGTCATATACCTACGCACCTCCTCACTTATACATTCATTCTCATCTGTTAAACTTAACCTTACAAACAAAAAATTTAATTTATAATCACTCAAAAGTTCGTGAACCTGATTTAGTATTTCCTCATCTCTCAAATCAATAATATAATAATTCATCTTAGCATTTTGAGTATGTAATATCAATTTGAGTTTTTCATAATATACTGGGAATTTAGTTTCCCTAAAGGTATCAGAAACTTTGGAAACAGAGTTCAACACATCTTCTTGAGTAATACCTTCTTCTTTGTTTCTATAAGTACTGATCTGTATGTACATAAAAAGATGAGTTAAAGATCTTGTGAACTAATAATTAAGTTATATTCTGAGTTCTCACCTTTTTTGATGAAGTTGATGGTAATTCTTCATTATATGATGGTTTATGTTCAAATGATGTATTTGATTCTTCTCCTTTTTCTATCTTAACTCATTTTGATGAGCATGATTTAACTTTATTAATATACTCTTCAATTTTTTGATTACGAGTAGTCTTAAGCACTTTGAATGTGTCAATTTGCGATTGTTTATCAAAAATATCCTAGAAAGGTTTAATGAGAATGCAACTAAAGTCATTAACACTTTAAGGAGTCTTAATCAACGTTTATATGCATCTCTTTTACTAATAGATCTTTTTTAATTTTTACAATATTCTAAAAGTTTTCTTCTTCAGGTGAATGTTTCTAAAACTCAGAAATAAAATGTGGTTAGTAAATATCAATAAAGAAGGTGGCTCATTCAATATGCTATTTTGCATGATCTTTCTAAAGAAACGATACCCCACAACTCTCATATTGAGAAATGATACCCTATACTTAGAGAAAGATGATACCTTCCTTAAGTTATGCAATAGCAGAAAAGACTGTGAAATACAATGCTGAGGAATAATACCTTATGTTATAAAAAGGATAATACTCTTTACAGGTTATACAAGATTTCACCCTTGACGGTTTAGAGATAAAGCGAAAGAGAAAATTAACAAACCTGTTGGATTAGAAAAGTTGCACACTTTTTGCTAATACTATTCTGCTCCTTGATAAAAACATTACTTAAATATGTAAAATATTGTTTTCTTTATATAGCTTTTTAATCAGCCAGCGGATGAACTTCAGGCGTACTCTTAAAATATAAATTTACCAAATCTAAACAAGTTTTTATAGACATTAAGCAAATTATTTAATGTTGTTACATTACACATAGAAAACTACGTGATCTGACTTAATGAGCTAATTAAATAAATTAGTGATTGATATCATTACTCACGTTCAACGATAATATTACCTCTCACACTACAATATATACTAAGGAAAATGAAAATATTAGAGATATCTGGAAATGATGCTCACTCTCAAAATTCTTAAGAAATGACATCTGTCGCTATACCCATCTTCACTATTATATTGCTATTCAGATACTAATATTTTTTTCACATATACTGTAAGACAGATTTGCAAACCATTTTTTATCAAAGCATTTTGCAGAGAGAAAAGAGCTTCAGAGAAGCTTAATTAAATGTACTGCACATAAATAGTTTGAATTGTGTAGTGTAAAGCATTTAGCTTAGATTTCAAAGTTATACAATTTGTTACTAATAATAATGGTTTTCTGAATTTGTTTAAAAAATTAAAAATTAAAAATTTTATTATATTTTAATTAAAGCCAATATCAATTTCAACGTTAAAACTAATATTAATGCCAATATTGTCACTAATGATAATACTAATGTTATCACTAATGCCAATGCTAAGCCAATACTAATACCAAAGTTAAAGCTAAAAAAAACCAATGTCATCACCAATGTCATCACTAATATTACTACTAATGTTAATGTTAATGCTAAATACCAATAATAATGTTAATGTTAATACTAATGCTAAGTCAATATTAACGCTAATATTTTCATTAAAAAAAAAAGAAATAATGTTATCACTAAAGCTAAAGTCAAAAAAAAAACTAATATCAAAGTTAATGTTAATACTAATATCAATGCTAATGTCAGTGTCAATATTAAAATTAAAGTTTTTATCAAAATTAAAGTCAATACTAAAGTTAGTATCACCTTCAATATTAATAAGAAAGCAAGGCTTTTAAGAGATTACAGTCAACTCTTGTTATAACAAACTCTATATCCTAGACCTTAACTTCGCTATAAGGCTATAGTGAAGATTTTAAGAGATTTGATTGGCTAATTCGTTATAACAAGAGTATTTTTATTATATTTGTTCAAAAAATTCGTTATATCAAGAGTTCGTTATAACAAGAGTTGACTGTACAAATTATTCAGTTAATAATTCTAATTAAGAGATAAAGTATTTTAAAAAAGAGAATTTCTATAAACAAATTCCCTATCCGTGAGTAATTTTGATAAATTTATGAATTTTTTCATTTTTTTTTTTAATAAATAAATATATATATATATATTTTTATATTTATATAATATCATTATACAAAATAAAGATCTAACTTACTTTAAAGATCATCATTGTTATATAAATAAATATCTGACTGTCTAACAATTACCTAATTGGTTATACAAATCTAATATATGACTTATCAGAAAATTATATAATAAGTTTATATAAAATCAGATCCCAGTTTTATATGTATTATTTGGGATCCTATTGTATTATACTGAAATTTCATAAAAATAATATGTATTTTTATGGAATTTTTATAACAAATTTTTTATTAGATATTAATATAGCTTAATTAAATAGTATTGTGATATGTAGTATAATTTATTATTATTATAATCTCCTATAGAAAGTAACTAATTTACTGATTACTGATTAATTATTTTCTTTTATTATAAATATTATTAAAGTTTAAACATTTTACCAAATCTAAAATAAGTTTAAATAAGCAACCTTATATATATTATTAATATATTAATTTTTTATTATTAATTTAATCATTTGTATAATAATCATATTGATATTGCTATGCAAATGTTTGTACAATTAACCCTCTCTAAATGCATTCTCTCTAATTGCACATACTATATATTTTCTTTCTAAATGCATGCTCTTGTTCAGTTCCAAGCATATAGAATTCATATAGAAATTTTCTTTTTAAATGCACACCCTCCTTAAATACACATTTTTTAAAATTTTCACTATGATCCTAAGGAGGATGCATTTAAAGAGGATTGACTGTATCTGCAAATTATTTGAATAGGATATTATCTTTTTTAATAACTAGTAATTAAATTAACAAAATTTTATAAGATTATTAATGATATCAAACTTTTGATTGATTTAATTAATAATATTTAAAACTTCAATATGCTAAATAAATTCAAAAACTTTTATCTACCATATATGTCTTTTCATATAAATTTGAGTAATTTTATTTTTATAAAATCATCATAGATTTGAATTGTATTAGAACTATTAGATTTTTTTTGTTAACAGCAACCCATTGATCACGTGAACCATCTTTAAAATGCATTAGGATCCGGCATATCATAAATTTTTAGGTAATATCACGTGATTTTATAATAAGAAGATTCCTCATAATTTTTTGTTTCGCGACATTATTATTAAAATTACCTAAATTGAATTAATAATTATTGTAATTTTTTTAAATTAAATACGACATTCCAGAAGCCATATATAAATTTAGAAGATAAGTAAAGCAGACAAAGCAGAATCAAAAATGTCTAATGAAATATTCACTCCCTATTGATACTCATCCTTTGGACTCTAATTTATGTAAGTGATCCATTGAACAAGCATATTTAAGGGTTTTGACACTACAATATCTCTTTGGAACATCACAACCAGGAAATGCACAATTTGGAACGGGTGGAGGATATCTTAACCAAATCAATCAAGAAATTTAGTTCTTCGTAAAAAAATAAAAAATAAAAAATAAGATTATTAAGATCCTTACTTTGGCCCCTTTTCGCATTGTATTTGTATGTCAATCCCGATCGGAAATGACAAAGTTGCACCTTCGACAGTATTCACATAGTGGAGTGATGAGGGTGGCAAGGAACTAGTACTACTAGAATCATTTTGTACACTATCTGTATCATCTTGATCTCTTGTTCGTCTTTTTGTAGATTGTTTCTTCAAGAGACGATTAATTGTATCCATCTAATCATTTTAGGTAAAAAAAAAAATATATATATATATAAAATATAAATAATATATTCTCCGCGAATCATTTCCGAATAAAAATTTACTTTGTCTTGTTCTGCGCGCTGTATGCTCTGATGTTTTCTTCGTCTTGCGATCTCGGACTTTTTCAAAGCGATTTCTTCCTCGGTCATATGTTTCTTTTTCATTGGCTCTAAAGGATTTAAAAAAATATATAGTATCATATTAACTTTTGCGACTAAAATATAATTGATTGATTCAAAGCAAAGATAAAACAAGTTATGCATCACCCATGGGGAGCTGCAACAGATCCTGTTGATAATTTTCATTAAGTTTAGCTCGTTGTCGCTTTGTAAGTATTCGATTGCCATGTGAAGATGAAGATGTTTCAGTAATGCTACATGATTATATTATATAACACCTCATAAAGTTAATAATCACACAAAGAAAGATTATATAAGGAAATGTATGTTGCAGCATATCTCACCTTCCTACAACCGAAATAAATAATAATATGGTGTTTGTAAAAGCCATTCATCACAAAAGTTAAAGTATCAATGCAATTACATTTACATTTAATAATTATATGACATACCTCTTTTCTTTGGAATTATTTGTTTATCTTGTACAGTTATCTGTTTCATTGAAGGTTGTAGACCTTGAGTTTGCAGGCTTCGTCCTCTTGTCCTTCTGGAAGACGATTCTTCCTCATAATCACTTTGTTCGTCATCTTCTTCGTCGTCCTCCTCCTCCTCCACCTCAGTATCCTCCACCGCGAAATCATCCTCGTCTTCAACAGGGGTAGCATCATCAGCATCTTCCATTTCTATGTCTATATCATCGTCGATTGGTACCTCTAAATCTTCTTCATGTTCTTCAACTTCTTCCTCCTCTTCTTCCGGTTCTTCCAACATATCCTCTTGTTCATCTTCCATATCCTCTTCTTCCGATTGATAATTATTGTCTTCTAATTTGATTGTTTCCTCCGTTTCTTCGTCGTCTTCTTCTTCATAGGTTGCTGAAACGTCAGATTCTAGATCGGTAACGTCTGAACTTTGTTCATATACTTTCGGCGTTTCTTGTCTAGAACGACTATAGAGAGAGGTAGATCGTCGCGTGGACGGTCTCCTTGACGAGGACATGTTTGAATAAGATTCTCAACTGCAGAACAACTTTGTATAGATCGAAAAAAAAAAACATTTTCTTTAGATTTTCGGCTAAAACAAACTTTGATTGGACGATTGTTCGCCGCAGTTAGAGATGTTAACGACGGTTTGTATCGCGATTCGATCATATGACCGATTTCGGACCAATCTCAAAAACTGAGTCGATACGCGATTGGAAACCATTAAAACATTATAAAAATTGGGGTTGAGAAAATTATAATGGGTAGTGCGCAAATATTGGAAATTCACCAATCATGTGTATGCGCACATGACCGCACCAACACTGATTGATTATTTTAGCAAGACGCGAAAGGAATCTAAAAGTTCTTTTACCATTCTTTACTAGATCAATGAAGGAAGCATTTAAATCTTGAACTTTAGCTATTTAACAATTGTGTCATATCAAATATGGCGGAGGATCAAAATAGAAATAACAGCCATTCATTGGTTAATAGTACCTCATTAAACTTAATTAACAAATAAACAATAATAAATATTAAATTAAAAAAAAAAAAAATAATAATAAATAACCATGATTCCGCCAGAACGATTGTTTAAAATCTAAAATATATTAGATTTCTGTTTGAGATATGCTTCTCATTTTATTTTATGTTTTGACGTTTCTTTTAGTCCGGCCTAAAAATCGATCTTAAAAGATCGCCTTCGATCCAATCGGATCGTTAACTTTCACAGCCGCAGTATGCTCATTATGCTATTCTATAAAAAGAACAAGAACGCGTTGTTGATTTCTTTTTTCGACTTTTGGCCAGTGCGCGCATGGTATATTGTTATTAATCCCTTAATAGGAAATTTTATAAAAGGGTATGTATGATATATCACGTGTATTATCGTTTAGGAAATTAGCTCGTAACACGAAATTCTTTGAATCTCTGATGTTTTTTATAAGATCGGTACAATGAACCAATAGTTATCGTCAACTGTACAAGTTTCTTATATAAATGGCTTGGCAACGCGGAAACGAAAAACATTTCAAAAGATTTAATTAATTCCTTACAATTTCACATCTCTAACCTGGGCCACATTTTCACATCAAATATTATAGGTTTAAAAAGGAAGGGATGAATTAGTCATAATTATTCATTCAACCTTTCAAAGCTTTCTACTAGTACTATAATAGTAATTCGTCCTACTCCTTTTTTTATATCTATAATAGTATAATGGTAAAAAATTTAGGGGGTTCAATCCACCAATATAAAAAGATTTGTTTCGGAGGAAAAGATTTTGTGTGAGTTTCAAACGACAAGGATCAAAAAAAAAAAATGTTACACGACAAGCTTTCCCTTTCGAACTGTTGGGGTAAATACTTGTATGAAAAATATTGGTTCCAAAACATTCTTTTTTGTTTATTCTTTTTATAAAAGATGTGAAACACAGAAGAGTTTCCTTTTTTTTTTAAAAAAAACAAGAGAAAAAAGAAGGTGAAAAAGATTTATCATGTATTTCTTGTTTTGACTCCAGAGTTGAAATCTTTAAATATCCTCAGCCATAGAGTAAAAAACTAGATGTTTCCTCAAAGTAGTAATGAGAAGCATTCAAATGCACCGAATAAAGTATTGAAATTACATCATTCTTAATTCATTTCAGGTGTCAAGGTGAAAAACTTGTTGATGATTAAACTGCGCAACCCAACCTTTTTTTTTTTTTTTTCCTATTATTTGACAACAAGGAGATCAAAAAATGTTAATTTATTTTCTGTAATACTATTTATTTATATATTCAACTCAAATGTATGTGGCTCATTTATACACAATTTTTCTTTATTTTGCTTTTTGTAACACATGTTTGACAGATTTCCATTAATAAATTTGTCGGGGGTATTTACATCGTAAAAAGTGTCATGCTTTCAATAAAACTGTTTCTTACATTTTTTTAAAGTTCCATATGTCCCTTTTTGTTTTACTCCTTGCGAACTGTAACATTTTTTTTTTATATATCAAAACAAACTATTTAATTTTTTCACCAACAATATATTAAAAAAAAACAGCACGCAAGGAAGAAAAACAATTTTTTTTTTTTTTTTTTTTTTTACCATACCTTCTTTTATTTTATTTTCCTCTCTAATTTTCAACTAAGCAAGTCTTGCTTGCCTTTTTTTTGATTTCTCTGCCACGTTGTTTTTCTTGTAATAACTCAAATAATGAGCCATTTGCCCGCAGATTACGAATCAGTAAGTGAACTTTTCTTTATTTATGGTGGAGTCGGTTTTGCTTCATTCACCTTACATGAAAAAAAATGTTTGAGAAAGTTTGTGTTCAGAAATATTTATGTATATATGTATAATATATATTAAGTTTTCATACACAATAATATAATAAAGGTGCGGCGTAACAAGTAGTTTGCCACAACCTTTGGGACTTATATAAATTGATTTCTTTCTTTTTACTTTATCAGAACAATAACAACAACGATAACACCAACGATAACACTGACAACAGCATCAACGAAGTTATCGAACCGATCGAACAAAACGAAGGAAACGACGCAAACGAGATAAACGAGATAAACGACTCTGAAACTGAAATTGAAATTGAAAATCACATTGAGAACCAAATTAGTGATATCGACCCACTTCTCTCTCAACTTTGTGCAATGTCCCCTGGTATGTTTTTGTTATTAACCTTGTTGAAATAACTTTTCGCTCATTTTTAACATATTTTTTTTTTCTATTTCCACTCTAATTTACAGTAGTGACCGAAAGACGAATTTTCATCGACGCGGTAATTCTTTTAATAAAGAAAATGATATATATTTTTTATATTCTTTACTAAATCACTTTCAAAATTTATATTAGGTCAACTCCATTGACGACAAAGAAGTTCTTAGGAGTATGCTCATACAAAAAGAGCAAGAAAAAGACGACATAGCGAATAACTTGGATATAGCTGCACGTTTAGGTCTAGCAATTTCAGAAAAGAACGAAGAACTACAAAAGAAGCTTAACATTGCCACGCAGGCCGAGGCACAGGCATATATGAGGCTTTCCGCTTTAGAAGAGGAAAATCGAAAGTTGTTTTCTAAAGCTTCTCAAAGTAATGAACTTTCATCCCAGTTGGCCGCCAGCGAGGATCAGGTCAAAGCTTTACGTGAACATAAAGCTTTTCTTCAAAAAGAACTCGACACTGCTCGAAGGGAGCTAAAACGATTCCGTAAGGAATTGGATACTCTTACTGGTCAAATGAACGATATGGCCGAGGATATGTGGGAATCGCGAAACAAAGTGAACACATACTCCAAAAAATTAGGTAAACCTTTTTCGTTTAAATTTTTAAACTTCAATTTGTAAACATTTATACTTACAATTCTTTTATTATATATATATTTTTGTAGTGGAGGTTGAACAACATCTTTCAGATACGCAAGAAATGAATGTCAATCTTTCCATACAATTAGAAAGATCTTTGAGTTCTCAAAAACTTTCTAGCGCAACTACTACTCAGATCGTAAAAATGATTCAGGCTGATCTTGGCAGAGTAAGCATCAATTAAATCAAGTAACCTATTATTTTGACTTTTCTTTTAATGATTTTTTTTTTTTAAATACCTTCTTTTTTTTTCTCAGGTTGTTCTTGAGAATGAACATTTACGCGCTAGCGTCAGCGAATTGGAAAACCGCCAAGTGAAATGTGAGGGTAAATTAAGTGAAATGATGGTTTCGGCTCAAGAATATGCACATCTTTTGGAAGAAGCACAGGATACCATTCATTCGCTAAGCGAGACTCGCCTCGAATCTGATATCGAGAATTTGGAGATATCACCTGGACGAAGCCGCGGACACGCTGATAAAATAATTGTCAAGGTAATGTTATCTTTTTCAATTTTTCTGATACTTGAACCATTCATGTATGGATAAAAATAAATTTATTTATTTATTTATTTTGTAGGATTCTCCTCCAATGAAAGGCACACCATTTTCAACTGAAGTTGAGCAACAATTGGAAAAGACTATAGAGGAAAGATTAATTTCACAGATGAACCCGGCCCGAACTCATTTCCCACAGGGTCATAACACTTCTGTAGATATGAAAAAAGCAGCGGCAGGCCTAAAATATTTGTTATCTGCTCGCGAAGTGGAGGGGAAAGATGTTGGTAAAGGCAAAAGTCCAGAGAGACGACCATTCGGTGGCGGTCATGTATTACATTCCTATAACGTCCGATAAATTACATGATATACAATATTATTTACATTAACCGATCTCGATAACAATCAAAAAAAAATATATATATATATATAGTTGGGGAGGATTTTCTTAAAAAAAAAAAAAAACATTTGTTATATTATAATTATACTTATATAACTTTGCTAAACCTTATATTCATTATTATAATTCACTTTAGTTACCAAATTATTTACTATTACTATTACATTCTATCATTATCATAAAGGCAAGTCTATTATTAAATTTAGAAATCATGATTTTAGCATTATAATATAACGTTGTGTTTTTCAATTAGCAAGTTAGTTACATAGACGCATGCAAGTGCATTTGCTTAGTAAAACTCCATATTTACATATTAGTTCGATCTTAATTTTCTGCTTCATTATGGTTCATATCTGTACATCATGAAACCGAACGGTAATGATGCGTTTTTCTTTAAGCAAATTACAAAAAAAAAAGGTACTTGATGAGAACTAAGGAGGAACATCTCATCAGCAAAATTAGGTTTGCCGCATTATTATTATATATATATCTTCCTTTTTTAACGTTCTATCAAAAAATTATTTCGACTTTCTTTAATGATTGATGTCAAATATATATTTAGCTTATTTTTAATTTTATTATTATTCGTGTTCAAACTTCTGTTGGAACACATCTTAGTTTTGTTTAGAAATTATCTCATTGAACATAAAAAAACCATTCATTTTCATTAAATTAAAAAATTTATCGGGGAAATAAAAGTATAATTATCAAAAAAATCACTGATCATAATATCGATTTGAATTTTCCAAATTTGACAATAAATTACGCAAATTTTTTTTTTTCTTAAATGTAGCGTTCTATTTAATTTTAACTTTAATTTAATTTATTTTATTTTATCTTTAAAAAAGTTATTATTTATTAAAACCTTTATAATTAAAATAAATATTTAAAAAGCACAAGTTACCGAATGCCCATATTTGTTAAAATACCAAAGAAATGTAAATTTAGAAAAGGAAGTACTGGTAAATTGCTGGTATTGATTGAATAAAAGCTAATATTAAGTATTACAAAAGAAATTCTTTTAGATTTTCAATGGTTGAAACAGTATTTCAAGTATAATGATTCGTTCAAACCAAAGTGTACTTAATCTAACCAAATGTTTACTAATGATTTAATATTTGTCATTTGTCATGCGGAAAAATTATTCAATCAGATTTTTATGGTGGGGATTTAATTTGATAACGTAAGCAATTTTGTGGGGAAATAAAAAATTTATTATGTTATGTAAGCGAGCGAATCAATTAATATATAATTTAGGCGATAACGAACTACGCCGCATTTTAGCTTTTTTGAACTTCCGATATTTGTGAAAATTATAATTATAATATAATATAAAATTATGCATTCGGTGCACCCATATTAATGTGCCGCATAGCTTTAAAATAAGCTAACCCTAAACCCTAATCCCAATCAATCAAGAGAGGGTGGCGCTGTGACAAATAACGAATGACAAATAGGTGGTCAAAAATGAAGTGACAGTTTATTCATATAATTCACGTGCTTCTCAGGTATAGGTGCGTCAATTTTATATGGTCAAATGAGGTGCGTCGCGGATATGGCTATGCCACCAATTATATTGTTCACGTGATACCGATGGCAACAGAAAAATCTCCCTATTGCTATTAAAATTGCCGTTAAAAAGACAAAAAAAAAAAAAATACGCAGAAAAAAAACACTAGAGATTTTTGATGATGGATCTTCCGAGAATTTCCATTCTTAGCAGAAGCACGACGTGTCACTGGAATTAAAAGCTCAAATATCTGGAAGGTCTGCTAGAGGATATCTTTGGCAATATGTGAATAATGATACCTGATAAAGGAGTTTGACATGTTATTTCAATAAATCAAGTTTGGATTGAATATTCGATAACAATTTCATGTAGAGTATGATTTATTTAAAATATATTTTACCAAGTGGGACTTTATAGCTAATATTAAACCTTAGCAAAACCTTTTCCCGAATACATTATGAGCAACCGAAAATTGCCTTTTTAAAACTTTTACTTAGGAAACGTCACAATGAATAATTATAGTCACAATGGATAACAATAACTCTGCCTCTACTAACTCTACTTCCAATAACCTTTTCACTCGGGATCGGATAAATCGGATTCCGTTTCTATCTCATGATGTGGTGTGGGATGTATAATTCGACTTTGATACTTCACAATCGATATGCGGTTATACATTTTAAATACATTAACGGGTTGTAAAAGTTATTATCATGTAATTATTATATACATTATTGCTTAATAATGTATAATTATCATGCATACACAAATATGGGGTAAAACTTAATTTTGTAATCCTGTGTTTAATATCTACAAATTATTTATCAACACAATAAACCTTTCTGCTAATTAGACGATGCAAGCCTACTCTCAAAACAATAAACATACAGCTCAATTCTACATCGTGTTGATTTTTTAACGGATCTAAATACTCATTGCTTTTCTTTTTAATCTTCGATTCTAAAGCTTCACGAACTGTCTTTTGATTTGGCCGGTATTTATCACCAATTTCAAGGCTTAAAATTTCATCCTCTGATTTTTCCAACAATGATCGTGAAATGTCAGTTGCTTCCTGCCAACTACCTCGAGTTCCATCCAATTTAACATTTTCCATTTTGATATTATCAAATTCGATTGCTATCATTTTTCCGGTACTTGACTTCACTAAATCAATGGCTTTTCCACCAAAATTCGAGCTCTGAGAATACACCTGAAATTCTGGTTCAATGTCCACGTAAAGAGTGAGAATTAAAGTATCCATAAAAGCTTGTTTCAATGCCTCTTCGTTTGAATGCTTAAAACTATTGTCCTTTAATGGCTTTAGTAAAGCTTTTCTATAAATCGGCAAAGAGGTTCAATGTTATATTCTGCCTTCAAAATCTGCAAACAATTCCGTACAGGTATTAAATCCTCCTTTCTCCAGTCATAAATCTTAAGCGCCTCTGCGATAAACTCCCTCTCAGCCATAAGATTTGGTATTTGAAAACTGTGTTGTAATGATGCAGGTGATGAGTTTGGCTGATATGTAATGGCTCCAGTATAGAACATGAATGATAATAATGGGGTACGATCAGTTGTTAGCTCACGAATATTGGTGAGTCGAAATTGTTGTTCTATGCCATTTGTAGAATTGAGAGGGCGTCGATTGAGTGCTTCAGTAAGGATGGATTTTCCAAGGGAATTGTTAACAATTAAGTCTAATGTTGTTTAAGAGGGCAATGTTTGCGGGTCCAGGGGGAAATTAAGAAGTGTATTAAGGACGACTGAAGGATCCCATCTATAATCCAATTTTTTCTTTTGTTTCATCAACTTCCCGATATAGTACAGGACACGTGCAATGTTAAAAATCCCTTCAGGTTGATCACGGTGAAAAAAATACCCATCATTTTTCTCCTTTAATCATGACATTATTTTCTCTTTAATATTATCTGATAAATTATTTCCAAAAGCCTTATCCAAGAGAATCTCAATTTCCGTTTTCTTGAATCCATATACAGTGGCGGTCAAAAGAATTGCATCACCTGAATGCAAATCTTAAAATTACAATTTCTTGAGATTAAGAAATCGCAGTGTTGCAAAACTTATTTAAGGGGTTCGTCATACCCTATTTTATCAATCTATATAATCTTTTTTTTAAGAAAACAAAAATTATTTTTCGCGAAATGTAAAAACATACAAATTGAGCGATGCATTTATTATGACCGATTTTATGAAAATAAATAACTTCATATCGTACGCGATTATTTTTATTCAAAACAATCATGCAACACATATAAAAAGGATGCCTTTAGGCATCCTTTTTTTTTTTTTTTAAAAAAAAAATTGATGGGTTATTTATCTGTTGAAAAAAGGTCAAGGATTTGTACTCTATTTGAAGAGGGATATCCCTCTCGTTATATTGCATCCAAAGAAAATATTTCTCAATCAACTGTTATTAGAATTAAGCAAAGAAAAGATAAAAATGGTACCTTCAAAAATCAACCAAAGCCTGGACGTTTACGACACCTATAGGTCAAAATGAATAAAATGTTTTGCGGCTTATTTCATCAGGAAAATGTACAAATGCAGTTTCAATTCAAAAAAAGTTAAAAATTGAAGAACAAATCGAAGTTAGTGAAAGTATAGTAAAGCAGACCTTATGATGAAATGGATTAATTTCAAGAATCAAGCGTAAAAAACCTTATCTTTGAAAAATGCATAGAATTGCTCGTATGAAATTTGCAAAAAAATATCGATCATAGATAGCAGAGGATTGGAATAAAGTTATTTGGTCAGATAAGTCAAAATTTATAATTTATGGATCAGATGGTAGAGAATATTGTTGGAAAAAACCAAATGAACTGTTACGCGATCATCATATTAAACCAACGGTCAAATTTGAATGGGGTAATATTATGATGTGGGAATGTTTTACATCTGATGGAGTTGGTAACATATGCTGAATTTATGGACATATGAATGGTGATTTATATCGTCAAATTTTAAAGGAAGACCTATTAGGAACCATCGAGTGGCATGGAATGGATAAAGAAAATATTATTTTTTAACAGGATAATGATCCTAAACATACATCACATCTCACAAAGCAATGGTTTGAAGATAATAGGGTTAAGATTCTTGATTGGCCAGCACAGTCTCCTGACTTAAATCCAATAGAACATCTTTGGAATGAAATAGACCGTCGTTTGAAACAGCTTGAAACACCTGTTAGAACACAGGATCATTTATGGAATGCAATTTAAAAGATTTGGGTTGAATTGGGGTCCGATATATGTAAAAAATTAGTTGATACTTTGCCAACTCATATAAATGATGTAATTAGAGCTAATGGTGGCTATACAAGATGGTAAATAATTTTTACCAAAGTTTTATTATAATTGAAATAATAAATTTTTTTTTTATTTATATAAAAATATTTTATAAAATTCGGTCAAAAGAAAAGCATCGCATGATCGACAAAAAATATTATTTTAAAAAATTTTTATTCTATCTCTGCGTAATGAAATTTATACCACTAAATTGATTCGTTATAATAAGTCTAAAAATAAAGTTTTGTACACTGCGCCGCCTTAATTGTCAAAAAATTGCAATTTTGAAATTTGTATTTGAGTGATGCAATACTTTTGACCGCCACTGTATTCATTACCGATCACATGAATATGATATGACCTCAGCTAATCAGTGATCACTTGCCGATCACTAATTCATTAGTTACAAGCTGAATTACAATGATAATTACATCAGCCAAAAATATTTTATATTTTTCGTGGAATATGAAGATGTATTGTAAATAAAAAAAGTGAAACCTAAAGTCCCACTTTGGTAAAATACATTTTAAATAAATCATATTCTATATGAAAGTTGTTATCAAGTATGCAATCTGAATTTCATTGAATGCTACATTTATCAGGTACATTTATTCACGTACTCCCAACGATATCCTCCAGCATAAGCTCGAAATCCTTGACACACTACACCGATATTTTACTGGTTAATTCCTGTTGTACGTTGCACTTCAGCTATAGATGAAAATTCTCGAATAGAACTATTGTCAGAAATCTGCCTAATAGGACATTGGTATCTATTACTATCTTTGAAGTTACGAAGCCGAAGACGTACAGCGTGTTGATTGTTTTCTTTCAGTGTGCACCATTCAAGATTAGATACATTATTATTAGTAGAGTCACCATCAATAGGTGCTCCAAAACCACATGAAGGTTTAACAAATAAGGAATTAAAATTATCTTATCTAATTATGCCATGTCTTCAAATGAATCTGAAGGGTTGCTTCAGAAAGTTTTTTTTTGGATTTGTCTGCTAGGATATTCATGAGGTGGTGAACATTACAATTTACTAATTGACCAATTTGAAGATATAGAAAAGGGATTTATTTTTAAGAAATTTTAACAAAAAAATTATCAAGGAGAATTAGAAGGTAATTAATCTACCTTTGAAATACCATTTCCATCAGATATTAAGGGTGTAGCTGAACCTAATGCAAATATTCGTAAATATATTTCAATGAGACCTTTAATTTGTAAAACTAAAACATTTTATTTAGGAATCTCAACAAATGCATCAGGTAAATATTTTTTTAATTATTTTATTATTA